AAAAAAAAAAAAAAAAAAAAAAAAAAGGCAACAAAATTGAGTTATTTGTAGTGAGGTGGATGGACCTAGATTCTGTCATACAGAGTGAAGTAAATCAGAAACCGAAAAACAAATACCATATGCTTACACATATATAGGGAATCTAAAAAAAAAAAAAAAAAGGTTCTGTAGAACCTAGAGGCAGGACAGGAATAAAGCATTCGTAGATAATAGAGGACACGGGGAGGGGGAAGGGTAAGCTAGGACGAAGTGAGAGAGTGGCACTGACTTAATACACTACCAAATGTAAAACGGACAGCTAGTGGGAAGCAGACGCATAGCACAGGGAGATCAGCTCCGTGTTTTGTGACCACCTAGAGGGGTACGATAGGGAAGGTGGGAGGGAGACGCGGGAGGGGATATGGGGATATATGTATACGTATAGCTGATTCAGCAGAAACTAACACAACTTTGTTATATGGCAGAAACTAACACAACATTGTAAAGCAATTATACTCCAATAAAGATATTAAAATAAAATAAAAGGCATTTTCCTCCCATGGATCACAATACAGGTCTCCAGCAGAACAGTGTCATGTGAAAATCCTAAAATTTTGCACTTCCAAGTTTCAAAAACCACTTTTATAACTTGGATAAACTATAATCATAAAGTTTACTGGTTCACTCCCTAAGAACCCAGTACCAAAAAGTAAAACACAGCTTTCAATTAATGTGAGTTCTGTATTTGTCTTGGATTTATTTTTGAAGAAAAATGACTCTTATTTAAAATAAATGACCAGAATCTTTTATTTAAACCAAGAACCCAGTAACAGCAAATCTTTTTTTGACACCACTTGGAAATCACAAATGAGGCATTAAATTACTATTTAATTCTGCTAATGAAAAATATTTTTGCCATGTTTTTACCATGTTACATTTTCTCAGTATCAGACAAATGCTTCTCTGAGATATTTTTCCCATTACCAACGGTGTAAATCATTTCAAATTTTTCAAATGGATTTAGTCCTCCTGAACTGGGAAATATAGTTACCTAGATTCTCCAATTCCCTATGCTATCTAAAATGCTGAATTTCAATTACTGATTTTCTAATGAATAATATATTTCAGTTCTCAACTTTAAATGAATCCCCAATTACTTCATAAGCAATTCCAAAAGGCAGTTCAAGTCAGTAACATGGGGAAAAAATTACGCAGACATTTCGAATCCTCTCCATTTAAAAACACAAATACTTAAAATAGAAATAGCTTTCTAAGCTCTTAAAAAAAAAAAAAAAACTTTCTAAGCTCTTTATTCAACCAATTACACAGTTAAATGATCACTCCCTTTAGAAGAGGGTGTATCATACTTACTGTAGTTAAGGGATTTGGAGTCGGTATGGGAAGCAAGCCTGCACCAGGCATCAGACTTGTCATGGTTGGAGCAGGAGCCAATAGAGAGAGAGCTTTGGCTTCCTCTGGGATTTTACCTGCAGAGGCAAGTTCCAAACATTAAAGAAAGCAGAAACACCACACAAACTTTATACTATGATTTTACAATTACCCTTGCACTTAAAAAATAATAATAATAAATGAATCTATCTATCAGATCCATATAAAGAAATAAATAAGAACTTAAGTCTTTCCTTTTACCCTGCTCTACTAGGAAAAATAAAAGTGAGCAAAACTTCAAAGACTAACAATCTCATTAATGGAATATTATTTTAAAAATTGAATAATGTAGACAATTATTTAACACTTTGAGCTATGGGTCACCTGTACTGGAAACTTAATGTTCATGAACCAAACGATATCAAGCATGGACGCTTTCCCAGGACGGTGTTTTCGCGGTGATCGTAAGTTGTGTTACACATGACAACCGTTCGTGTTGGCTGCATCACTAATAGCACACAGAACATCAGATACAGAAAAGAAGAACATTTTTTAAAGTTTAATCCCCAGAAATGGCAAATAACCAAATTAGTCAAAAAAAAGAAAAAGAAAAAAACAAATATGTGCGAATTGAAATCTGTTCCTGAGTGTCCCTATCCTGTTAATTGAAACTACCTACTTGTGATGCAAACAATTTTGATAACCTTCCAGAAGATCCCATTTAATTTCAAGTAGACAGAAAAAACCAAAAGCCTACCACATGTAATCAGCTTCAATTGGAAAGGAAGCCTACACCCATTCAGTTAATAAGGCATCTCACCAACAATGACAGAGATGACTAAAAGAATCCAGTTCCAAAGAATATGCCTTGGGAAACTGCTAACATTTTTGAAAATGACTAACAAAAAAAAGTTACCTAGTCTCAGGAATCTTCTTATATTACTGACTTTTAGAACCGATTTATGTATACTTATCTGAAGAGGGGTGGTTAATGCCTAAATGTCTTGCTTATAAGCGTCCTAAGTGCCTAATAATAACAACAACAATAACATTAAAATAACCCTAGACACTAAGAAAAAGAAATCCCTACGACTAAAAAAAAGGAAATTTACTCTGAATTAAGTCTATCAATTTGCCACATTTAATTACTGAATTCTAGTCAATTAATTTTGATAAGGGCTGGGACTTTCACACATTTTTTCTGGTCCTTTCTCTCAACCTTCCCAAAAAGAAAATTTCTAAAAAGTTGACTACGTATAGCAATTTCAGAACTACTCATAATTATGTGGTATTTGGCTACATGTTTCCATTATGAATTCTTCAAAAGTAATTTAAAGTACAAAGTCACGCCAAATTGAAAATAGCATATGGAGTAAATTTTCAAAAAAGCACCATGTGGGGTTTCAGTGGTAAAAATTCGACTTAACACAACCACATGTGCAGGGATAAATCTCTAAAAAAATTATCTGAATATATTTCTAAACATGGATGGAATTCAGGACGAATTTTAAAACTTGCTTTAAGTAGTGGTTACACCTTATTTATAGAAATACAGAAATCACATTTTATTAGCTTTAGCAAATGCCTACTTATTTCTAAGCTTTGCAACATCTAAGTCTATATTACCTTAATTTACTAATTTCAAAAACAAAGTCATTTTATTATTTCAGTAAATTCTGCATAAGCACTGATTGTAACATGCATTAAGATTAAAAGGCAGGAAGGCCTTACTGAAGACATCAAATAACAGTAATTTATTTTGTATTCATTAGTTATTAGCATTAAGACATTTATCTGTATACTCACATATACTATTTACATCACTATCAGACCTGCTTTATCTGTTAAAAATAAGTATTACTTTTTTAATATTTGTAAAACCTGTACACATCTTGATAAGTCAACTGAGGTCCTAAGGTACAAACCCTATGCTTCACTACCCTAATTTATGCACCTCAAAAACAAATAAAGAGTTCCAATCTAGTAATGTCCCCAATTTAATATTACCTGTCCATTAAATAAGCAAAACTACCCACATGAAAGACCACACAAACAACATGGGTATTCAATACAGGCCAAAAGTTGATTACTTAACATAATAAAGTCATTCAGTGTTGGCTTAAAAATAGTATCAGGAGGTTGTCTGCCTCTCACTGTCTCTCACAGTATAATAAACTATTATAAGTATTAAGTCTAACTAAAAGCACAATATTTTTTACTTATTCTAATTACCATTAAAGATACTTTAAGAAAAAAGTTCCATTGCTTAATTTCCAGGATAAAATTCTACCAAATATACCCTCCAAATACTATCAGAGTGTATAAAAGTATAAAACAAATAAGCATTTAGCATTTTTCCCGAACTGTACTCATCAAAGACAACTGAGAGAAAAAACAGTGTCTCTCACTCATCCTAATCTCAGAATCCATTTAGAAACTAGTAATCTCTGAACATTTTTCAACAAAAAAATTCAAGCAAAAAAATACACACACAAGTGTAAGTATTCAACAGTTTCTCAAATATCCATTCCCCACCTAGGTAATTAAAAGTGTTTTCAAATCAAAGAAATGCTATTTTCTATAATAAATATCATAAAAGTGAAAAGTCTCCTCTTGTCCTCTACCCCCAGAATGTTATAAGAAATTTACTTATTTTCCTTGATGATTCTGTATGCCTAAAATTCTAAGGGAGGAGGACGAAAATTAGAAGCTATCAGTTGGTCTTTATGAGAGATGCAGACTTGGGAGAAAACTGCAAAAATGTTACACTGAGATCAAAACGTGTTCCTAAGAATCTCATCAGTGTTTTAGTGTTTTGGGAACAAAATGTACCTGATCAGTTTATAAACACCAATTAAGACTAGCATTGAGCTTCACGAAACCATATCCTAATTTACTGTGAAAATTTCTTTTATGTTAAGGATGAGCTCTACTAATCACCTCCCAATATAATTTGCAATGCAATGTTATGAACCCTTAATGGAATACCATTTACAAAGAGCTGGAAAACCAGCTCACAAGTTAAAGTGAAAGAGATTTAACAAAACAAAAACAAAAACAAAAAAAAAAGGGACAAAATAAAGAAAAAGAAATGAAATTAAAGTAAAACAATAAAAAACAGAGACAGGGCGTCCATCTTCTGCGGTTCAGACTCCGATCTCATTTCCCCAATGAAGGTTTCACTTGACGGCAGGTTTAGTGGCATGGCAAACAATGCCTAACTCAGGCAAGTGTAACAGGTCTGCCTTGGCCAGTCTAGTCATCTAATAATGCACAAATATCACATAGAGAAAACATACAAAACCAAATTAATAGTCAAAATCCATCTACCAGAAAATGTGGACATAAACTTATGACTGATGATTAGGCTGACACCCTTATTATGTTTGACCTTATTTTTTTCCAAGTGTTAACATTTATAAAAAGAAATCTGAGATGCACGCAACAACAAAAAGAGGTCATATTTGGACGAGTATAATGAAAGTATATTTTATTTTGAGGTGGCATGTTTTATTAACAATAGCTAATGCTTAATATGTACGAAACTATTACACATCAAACATTACTTAAACGGCTTAGGATCTCACAGTACTACTGTCTGCATTAAAAAAAAACAACAGCAAATTGAAAGAAACTGAAAAAAACTTCTTACAATTTTTTTCTATGGTTTTCTCACTTCTTTCATAATGCTGTTTCTATAACATCAAGGAAAGAATACAATCAGTGAAGTAAACAGAAGACTGCTTACAGCACATCTCCTCTTACAGAACTTACTCCACTGGAACTCTTTCCTTTGATTTATTTCAAACTCACTTTGCTATCTTTTTTAACACAACAATACATTATTACTTTGCTTGCAGTGCATAATCAGATCTTTTAACAACTCACTGTGACATTCTTCAGGTTCTATAAATTCATTTTTGTTGTATTTAATGAAAAATGTGTATCTGAATGTTTTTCCAATACAAATTATTTTATAGGTTAGTGTTCTAAAATACTTAAAAGTAAACTGGAATAAAAATATGCTTGAATTTTCACGTTCAAAAATAGCGAAATTTTGTCTGTTTGTTAATAGTAAAAATATTCAAAAGCCATTATAATAAATGTGCATTTATTTATTTCTATCAAGTAAAACAAACAAAAAGGAACCTCTACATGCCCATGATCTTTAACATTTATGACAAACCATGGTCACTTCTCAATATATGAAAAATTTTATGGGAATATAGCAAGGTTCCAACAGAGCAACACTAACAAAATTTTTCCTTCCAGTTCAATAATAAGCTAAAATCACACAAGATACTGTGCTGCTGGTGGCATAATTTTTTGATACAATTAACACTCCCATTTAGTAAAACTTCTACCTGATTTATTTTTTCCCATGCAGTTTACTTGGTATGAAATTGGTATGAACTTGGTATACAGAACTAAATCATTACCAGCTCTTTTCTCACCTTGTTCTCCAATTTTGGGGTCATTGTCCCCTTACAGATTAGTAGATAAAGATAGATTTAGCAAATAATTAACTTTAATTCATTTTTTATTTATTCTACTATATTCGCTATTATTTATTTTATTCTCCCTACCCCTCTCTAACCCCTAGACATGGGAAAAATACTTTCAAATTTATCTGAAAAAATCCAGAATGTCCTATTCTGGGACATCAAAAATAACAGAGTCATACTCACTGTATCTGACTAATGTTTTTGACATCCCAGAACAAGCATTCTGAAATATGCATAAAACCTTGAAAATGCAGCAAACTGTTTATTATACAGTATTTTAATGTGAGCCTGGTTTCTAAAAAAAGTTTTAAAACATGACATATGAAAGCTCCTTAAATTGTTTCAGGTAAAATTTTTATGTTGTAAAACAGTTACCACCAGCCACCAGTGAAAATATATTTTAAAGACATTTAAATTATAATAACCCAATTCTAAAATCCATGTACACATGTCATAGTCAGTGCTCTGAATAAAAGTTAATTACACACCAGAACTGTCAAATTCAGCACAGCCTAGTATAATGAATGTGAATGGCTCTGCAAATAGAAGTTACTAAAAAAATAGGCATTAATAATAATTAGCTCTTAAAGCAGGTTATGTCATAAAATTTAATGAATTACTATAAGGCCTTTGGCCTTGTTTCCACCTTCAACAACTATTTCCTCGATGGAGGCTTTGGAAAATTGCTTTCCATGATTTTTCTTCAATTAATCACCATCACCGCCACCCCTCCCTCGCCCGCAAAAAAAGCCAGCAAAATTAAAAGTAAATTCTAGTTGCACAGCAAATTACACTGAATGTAAAATAATGGTCTCAGTAACAATTAAGGTAAATTACCTTAAGAAGATACTTTAAAGCTTAAATTATGAATATTGTTCTTAAACATAATAACTACCTAACCCCCATTTGGTGAAATGTGTACACTGTTTTTATTTATGCAATATCTTTAATAGGTATACACAGGGGCAAATGCTTACTTATTTACACATTTTAAATAATGTCCTCTACCAACTTAATATTTTAATTTCAAAAAGCTTTCTTTACAACTTGCAAACTGAATACAGAAAGTCAAAGCAAACCAAAGAAGCCAAGTAATTTATAAATTTTTAAATGTTTAGCTATAAAATCTCAAATATACATAAGTAATAAATTAACCATTTTAATATATTTTATTATTATGTAAAATCCTTTCCACCTCCAAATTTCATTCTTACACACACACACCATATCTACTTGCCAATTTCTAGGAAAGCCAATGGTAGTAACAGACAGGACAGAGATTAAAATAACTGAAAAAAACATGTGAGATACTAACCTTCTGCACAAGGAACAACTATCAGAGCTCTGTCAATAAAAACCGTGTTAGTTAGATGCTGGGCCACGCCAACACTTGATGGATCACGAAACTTAACATAACATACTTTGGAAGAAAAAGCAAGAGGTGCGTTGCTGCAAGATAAAAAGAAAAACAATTGAACTAATTAACATTTGGTTGGTTTTCATTTAAAATTTCTTACTTATATCTTTACATAATCTTACAATCAAGGCAGGAATTTTTGTTGCTAAGGATCATTAAGACATGAAATAGCAGAACTTAGTCTTTTAATGGTGATTTGCTGCAATGACTGAAGGCACATCTAAGCAGGCCTATAGCCTTATTTGTTAAAAACCTGAAATTTAAATTAATGCCTTCTTAATCTGAGTGAAATGTGAAAACAGCTGACTTAACCCAAGGATGTCCAATCAGTGCATCATCATCAATAGGCAAAATCCCGTTTCATAAAAAAGCCCCAATCCTCAAGACTTCAAATTTTCTAACTACTTCCAACCCTCCCTAATGTGATTCCTGGCATTTAAATCACTAAAAACTTCACAACAATCTTAGAAACAATCAGATAACCTGGAATTAAAATTAAGGTCTTTTGCATATACTGGCCTACTTCAGGCCAGGCAGCATTGTGATTTTCCAGACAAAAACTTTTACAAACAAAATTTTACATATTTTATATGCAAAAGAGCAAAGACTCTTATAAATTCTACTAGATTTAATCTAGGCAGGACTATAGGAAAAAGAAGCCAGACACAGCACAGATGAAAGCAATTTTTCCACAATATGACTCCATCGTGTTAGATTCCAAAATACACTATCCTCATAAAGGATCATTTTGTCAACCTGCCCATAATTATGTTCAATTAAAGTCTGTAATTGTCTTTAGCAAATAAAAAAAGACACTAAATATACAGCTAATGTTTAACATAAATGTACAATCCTTTAAAATATTAAGTTTTTCACACTAAAAAAAGATCATTTGAAAAATACTAAATATGCACTGTGCAGCAACAATAATTTACTTTAGTTTACAAAACAGCTCAAGGAAGTTCACCATAATCCTAGACCTAGTAAATGGCAAAGATGAGATTTAATGTCTAATCATCTAATTCCAAATCTCATGCAACCTTAATTATTCAATTAATCAAGAATTTTAAAGCCACTTTAATGTACTACTTAATTTGTAATTCCATAAATATTCATTTTTTAATTAAAAAATTACATACAGCAACAAATCCAGCTTGCTAACGGCTAAATATATTTATGATATTAACCAAACACTAAGATAATAAAATATATTTGCATTTAGAACTTTAAACTATATATATTATTAACATAACTAGTCAGGCTAGCAAAAATAAAAGTAAAACTCTACCTCTTTCTCACCCAACCCAACTCAATTCTTTCCTGCCTAAGGCCATCTGATTCAGGCTTCAAGCCAGTCCTCTCCAACAACCTCCCCCTACTCAACATGTAAGTCAAGCACTTGTACTTGCCATGAGGTAAACACATCTGCATCCAGACTTAACTCACCTATACATTACCAAGTCACCAATTTAGGCCTCTCCAGAGCTCTAGATTCCCAGATCCAAGTGCCTGCTGGCATACTGCACGGTGATCTGTCAGTCACAGGACCCACCCTTGAACTTATTCTTAAATTCATTACCCTCCTTCTGCACCAATCCTGCCCTTTGTCCTAATTTCATATCTCAGTTAAAGATACTACCTCATTATCTAAGTCAGAAATCCGGAAGTTGTTAATGAGACCATCATTAGTACTGTTCTCCAAATATTTCCAAATCTCCTTCTGGCTACGTAATAAAATTCTATTTCTTTTTTCCTTGAAGTTAGGTGTGGCCGTGCAATTTGCTTTGGCCAATTAAATGTGAGCATAATTGACATGTGTTCCTATTCAGTAGCCTTAAGGGCCACTGCTCAGTTCTTTTTCTCTGCCACAGTGACCAGCAACATCAAAGAGATGGGTGGCTGATATACCAGCTTCATCCCAGAATGAGTGACTACAACGAGTAGAGTCCCCAACCCCACCAGTTTAGTATAAGAAATAATCTTGTTTTTATCAAACTACTGAGATTTGTGGGTTGTTTCCATCCGTGACCCTTCCTTCTTTTTCATCCTATTGGTCTTTAAATCCTCTGAAGACTGCCTCCCAAATAGTTGTCACACTAATTCTTTCAACAGTCTCAGTATCAATGCCTTCATTCAGGCCCTTATCATTTCTCACCTGGATTACTACAATGGCTCCTAACTAATCACACTGCCTCCAATCTCAACTCCTCCTTATTAAAAATCTTCCACAAAAGCTGTTAGAGTAATCTTTCTAAACCCTAAATCTCTTCATGTCATGCAACTGCTTAAATTTCCTCAGACACCCTTCTTTTCTTGCTTCATCATTTAAAAAATCCAGGCATAAAAATACTTGTGGTTCCCAGAACACATCCTGAACCATCTGGGCCATCTTTGAACATGTTGTTTCATTTGGCTATGATGTGCTCTCTTACTGCCTTTTTGAACAGTAATTCCACTTTTCTTCAAGGCTCAAGTTTCGAAGTCTTCTGGAAAGCCATTTTAAAATATCAAAGTGACTAGGTACCCCCTCCTGTATGTGCTACCAATACATCCTATATACTTTCAGCACAGTTTCCTTATGTGAAACCCTCAACAGATCTTTCAAGCTTTCAGACACAACTGATCAGCTACATGACACAAGGGCTTATTTCACTGGCTAACACGAAACCTGTAATTTGGGTGGCCTGACCAAATGAACTTGAAAGTCACTTAGAGTAAGGGCTTGGGCCAGATGCCACATGAGTACAGAATACGTCTGAAAAGAAATTAAGCACATACACAGAAACAAACTGAGCTGACAATAAAGCCTGACAGGAAGGGGCAGATAGTCGCCTTGGGTGTTGATACCCTTCTGGTTCCCAGTCCCAGTTCCCACGAGGCCTAGTCTTTATTCTTCTACTCAGGGAAATCTCTTTCTTTTAATAATGTCTCTTCTTGAGCTAGATTAGGTAACACTGTTTCTGTCCTTTGCAACCAAAAAAAAAATCTATGATTACAACTAAAGCCCTAGCAATTTCAACAAGAATACTCTCTTTTAGCACTTGAAGAACCTGACAAGCCACCACTGAAACTGTATTTCCTAAATTGACAGATCCTTTTGTGAAAGGATGGAAACCTAAATCATCACTGTTGAAAACTACAAACATTTCCAAATATCCCTACTTGAAAACCACATCATTTCAAATTTAAAACATCCACAGGAATAAGAAATGTGAGCCTGGTTGGTAAACCACACACTACTTAGAGTTGAGAAGCCCAAAAACTGGTTAAAAGACGCAGATCTGTTCTGAACAGCATTATAGTAAGAGCATGGATCCTAGTGCTATAAGCAATTTTTTTCATCTTCATCGCCAATTACCTTCCTTAAAATAGAGAGTAAAAGCAACACAGTATTTACTTTATAAAAAATGTAAACATATGAGCTTTTCAGGAGAGGCAGTAACACTTTTATTTTGAATATTATAGGCTAAAATAATACAGTGGCAAGCCTATAGATATCTCAGCAAACAAATGTGTATTTACAGATTTATAAATCAGTATATTACCAAATCTTATATTTAGATCTTCCTCTCTAGTATATCTAGGCTACTAAATAAAATTTACTTTTTAAAAAATTAAATAGGATTATCATTTTCAAATTTAACTCTGACCTACACTTTTAATTTTTAAAAGGGGTTACATATTCCATTTGGTCTAAATGTATGCCTCTAAAGAAAGTAACAGTACTCAAACACAGCAGATTTTACTTTGACCCCATTTGTTGAATCAAGTTTTGTTTTGTTTCTTTAAATATAAAACCTTCTACAATCACTTTTCAAACAAATCAGAATTTCTCACTGGGAGTTTAATGGAGAAATCACAGAACCAACTTTTTGAGCACCAGTTAAATTTCTTAGACCCTAACTGGTTACCTTATTTTTCACTAAACATGGTGATGGCACTGTACAATCTTTTAAAAAATCAATGTGGTAATACTATGTCCAATACTTTATTATATTAATATACATCCCTTGAGGATCTATCAAAAAAGATACAATGCAAAACATGGACAAAGTATATAGCTTTATGTATGGAAATATTAACTGACACAATGTATAACAGGGTTTCTCAGCAGGGCTCCAGTGATTGTCTGGATGCCACAATTCTCCTTTCTGTAAGACTTCCTTATGAATTACTGACACTTACCCACTAAATGCCAGAGGCCCTCCAATCACTGTGGACAATCAAAAATACACATTTTTCAAATATTTCTAGCTAAAATTCAATGACAGAATTTCAAACACACATACACACTTGAGACATCAGCCTTTAAATATTACAATAAATAAAACACAACAATATGAAAAATGCTTACCACAGGCTGAGTGAAAAAAGTTTACAGTAACGGTGTATAAATCCTTTGATTACACTATATTAAAATAAATGCATGTAAAAAGGACTGGAGAGAGGTTTTGATAGGGTGATAGGATCACTGGCAGTGTACCTTTTTCTCTATTTCTCCTGATATGACAATATTGGTTATATTAATTTTAGCTAGTTGACAGCTTTTACCTTATTAGTACTTTTAAAGACCAGAGAAGTGAAGAAAACCAGCAAGCAAAAAAAGAAAAAAAAACCCCGCAAGTGTTGATGTTAGAAATCAGGCCAGGATTACCCTAGGGGTATTATGCACTTGAGGGGGGAGATGAGAACTCCTAGGGCACAGAGAGTCCTATCTGGGTGCTGGATGTGTTCACTTTGTGAAAATTCAACAAGCTGTATACACTTATCCCTGCACTTTTCTGCTCCTTATACCTCCATGAAAAGCTTACTGAAAAAACAACAAAGATTTCTTACCATTGTAAAAAGGTTTTCATGATGTATGAGATTCCCTTATTGAGTAAAAAGTTAAAACAGAAATTCTGGATATTTATCATCTGGTAGCACTAATAAGAATTTTTAATATTTACAGTGAATGTTTACACCAATTCTTAATGTTTAAAAAGAAACTGAATCATGGCCTCATGCCAAAAAAAATTAAATTTAAAAATCTGAATTTTCGTATTAGCAACCAAATTCTTAAAATGTTAATGAGAAACTATTCTCACATTCTATTAAAGAAATATCATTCCAAATTTAAAACAAATGAATTTCTACTCAGCTTCCAAAGATTAATCATAAAATACTGTTTCCACAACACTGCAAAATAGAATGATCTGTCTTCAATACAACTACTACTATTGCATTTTTATGCACTTCTGCCCAAATCTGCAAACACATCTTTAATATAAGGACCAGGTTATGACAACTTCATTACAGAGCAAGCAGAAAACATGCCATTAGAAAAGCATGTAAATACTTGTGAAAAACAGGAATAGGGACTGACTGCCTTTAAGAAAAACTGGTCAAGGATTTTGCCTAGCCTATATGTGTTATATTTATGTTACAATTTTGCAAAATGTATTACTGTTTGTGACACAATAATTCTATATTAATGCACTGTTTAAGTGACGAGCTTTTTTATTCTCTGACTTGTAAACTCCAAGCAACTAATACTTGATTTCAAAAAACAGCCCATTATTAAATGTCAGATGATAACTGGCAGCATATTGCCACCCAAGTGCACTTTTCAACTATGTAAGTGGTGTTATGTTGGCAATGAAGAATATTCTGTGATATATTTCTTCTGCCCATGAGACATCTTATTATCACAACCTTGAAAGCAAGGTTAGTTTACAATCATGTACAAAAATATTTTACTATTTGATTCCAATTCTTTCAGAATACAGCACTCCTCCAAACAGTTCTCAATTATTAAGAAATGTTCTGAGCGCTTAAATGAAGAGAGAGCTGAAAGCACTTTCAAAGTTATAAGATATTCAAAGCTATACATGAGATGGCTAGTCAGTAAAGATACATGTGCATGCCCTTATGAAGCATCTTTGACAAAACTGTATTACCGAATCTATTCATGTAGAACCAATTTATATAAACCCAGATAAGTCATTCTACAACACAAACTACAAGACAAAATATTAATGTCATGAAAAACTTTTAAAAAGGTGACTTGGAAAAAAAATAAAAGGCGACTGGGAGGGTGGAGGGGTGGCTGTCCTAGATTAGAGATAACCAAATGCATTGAGTGATCTGATTATATTCTAGATCAGAAAAAGAAAATGGAAAAAAGGCATTATCAGTATAACTGAAGAAATTCAGATGTTATATTTTAATCAATGTTAAACTTCTTGGATGCGTTAATAGCATTGTGGTAATGCAGGAGAATGTACTTCTTAAGAGATTCACATTTAAGTGTTGAGGAATGAATAGTCATGGTGTCTGCAACTACTTTTAAAAGCATGGGAGAGGGGAGGGTTGTAGGGGTGTCTGTGTGTGTAGGTGGGGAGAGGGAGGGGGAGACACAAAGACAGAAATCAACTGTGGCAAACTATAAATGCAGATGAAGGGAACATGGGAGTTATTCTTTAGCTTTTCTGTATACATGAAATATTTCAAAACAAAAATGAGAAGAAAAACTTAAGTAAAATTTAAAAATCCAAACACCAACTTTTATCAACATCTATACAGTAACAATGCAATATACTTACAGAGAGAAAACCGAAAAAAATAGGTCTACATGCATCACTATGAAACAAACCAAAAAGTCAAAGAAAAATTTTTTTAAAAAGGAGAAAAATCCTGGGGAACTACTATCCCTTCCTTCAAAGGATTTTGACAAAATGAACAAAATACTGAGAATTTTCATATTCTAAGCTCTAGCTTTAAAAAGTTTACGCCTGTAAGAAAGTAAACAACCTTCAAACCCCTTACAAATTCTGTGAGTAGATAGTACTGTACAAGGGAAATGTTACTTCAAAATACACTACTTGGGAAGTGTCTGAGAACTGTGAATGCCAGTCCAGATCTGGACTTTTAAAAGTATACAGCAGGAGTAATCCTGTACGGACTATTACTTTTTCTGAAAGGTTTAGGACGGTGTGACCTTCTAGGAGGAAATTTTAATCCGTTGCCAAAAGGGTGAACAGACATGATCTTTAACAACATGGATGGGCTCGGTTAAATGAACCAAGAAGATGCTAAATTTGTGAACACAGGCCTAGGGACAAATTTAGGCCTAACTCCATCTGTCATCAGCTGCACACTTCCCCGTCAGCAACAACGGTCCGACACTGCGGCACTAAGAACTGGACAGCTTATCAGGCGCAGTCTCCGCGATTTGCCATTGCAAAAACGCTATCAGGAGCTTGCCATGAGGACTACCGCGGGCCCACCTGCGGCCATCTTAAGTTCGGGAAAAAAAAGAAGGGGAGGAAGGGCACTGAATTCGAGGACCCGGCGGCGACCATAGCCCGGAAAGCACGAAAAAGGCAACCTCTCTAACTCCTCTTTAAGGGTTCTGTGCAGAGGTTAACCCACCAAATACGACTAACAAGGAAAGCAGGAGCGTGGGGCCCGGGCCGCGGTGCCCTAATCAAACATGGGCACCAAGGTAAACCCGGCGGTCACGTGACTGACACCGCGCGCCCCCGTCCGCGCTCTCCCCCATGCCTTGGTTCCCGAGGTCTCTCTAGCGCCCGCGCCCCTCCCCCAGCCGAGCTTGAGCACTTACTCCGGGGGGTAGAGCCGCAGCTCCTCGATTTCTCCTAGGAAGGAAAAAAGCGTCCGCATCTGCTCGCTGGTCACCGCCGACGACAGATTCGTCACCTGAATCACCGCCGTAGGGGTGAGGCCGAAGCCTAAGCCCAACCCGAAGCCGGCGCTGTTCATCCCGACCCCGCTGCAGCTGCCTGCCTCCCCAACGTCTACGACGCGTCAGCGACGAAGCCGGGAAAGCGGAGAACGCGCGGCCGCGAGCGCGCCCCCGCTAGCGAATTCACGGCAGCGGGCAGGTCTAGCCGTCCATTTCACAACTCCCCTGCTCCCAGGGCTGCGCGCGCCAGCCGGAAGCGTCTCCCCGGCAACCCGGCGGATCTCGCGGGGCTTCGGCCTGGGGCTCCCGGGTACCTGAGGCTGTTTCTCCTGCTGGACTTCTCCCTGGCTAAGTTTTGATTGAGTTTTTTCCCGGCCTCCACTCGATCAGTTTCTTGTGCTCCTGTAAACGTGGGAGACCCACCTCTTTCCAGTCTTTATACTAGATAGGACTGGGGAACCAAGAGGCCTGGCCTGCTGGTGCGGAGCTGTGAAGAAGGAATGACTCGAGCATCGCAGATCAATACTTGACCGAACTATAACGTGTCATTATAATATACAGGCAGCTCCCTCGCCCCGACTATTTTAAAAAATTGGCCGGCGTCCTAATTGTGAAAAAACTTGGGAAATTTTACAAAACCTGTAAATTTTGAAGGAATTAAGGAAGGAAGCAGTTAAGATGAAGGCTATGCGGTTGTCGTTTATAACATTTTATCGCTCACTACGCAGGTATTAATATTTGAGTGTTATGTACCAGACACTGTTAGGCAAGAGCACATAAAAGACAGTTACAGAAGGTCCACATAGACCTTGCAACCTAATGAGAGACAAGTAACAGTAGTATGGGAAACTAGGGCAGATGTTCCCAAAATGCCATTCACAGAACCTGGAGGGTCCTCGAAGCCTTTTGAGTGATTATGCAAGGTCAAAACCGTTTCCATAATACTAAGACTCTGTTGATCTTTTTCACTTTGTTGATAGTTGCACTGATGGTGTAAAAGCAATAGTGAGTGACTGCTGGCACCTTAGCAGGAATCAAGGAAGTGGTGTCAAACTGCACTACTGGTATTTTGTATTCTTCACCTCCTGGCACTCATAGCATAAAAATTCATGATTTTTAAAATAATCTAGTTTAACTTAAGAATGTCCTTGACAAAGGAGTAAAAATTATTAATTTTATTAAATCTTCACCCTAGCATACACCTCTTTTTAATGTGTGAAGAAATGGTAACTACTTCTGCTGCATGCCCAAGTAGGAGGAACATCTCCAGAAAAAGCACTTGTGTGATTGTTCGAGTTTTCACACAAAGATCCAAAATTTTTTAAATTTGTATCCACCACCTTGAGCTTGACAGCTTTCCAGTATTTAGACTTTTCTGCTAAAAACACCAGTGATATTAACAAATGTTTTTTTTCACATTATATATTGAAATAAGTGACCATTTGAAAATCTCTACAACTCAATGAACCACTGTTTTCAAAACAATCAATGCATGCTATTACAGAATCAAAAAGAGTCATCATTAAAATCATGGATTTTAATCTAGCAGAATACAAAAAGTTAATTGATATGGTTTCAGATTCAGTCCACGTTGAAATTGCACTCTTAGAAACTATCACATGTCCAGTTTGGTGTAGTATCAAACAAGAATATCTAGAATTATCTAGAAAGACTATGAAAATAGTTTCCCCTTTTCCAGCTCCTTATCTATGTGAGACCAGATTTTCTTCATATGTTTCAACAAAAACATATCACAACAGATTGAATGCACAAACAGATAGGGAAATCCAGCTGTCCTCTATTAAGCCAGACATCAAAGATCTTTGAAAAATGTAACGCAATACCACTCTTCTCAAGATCCTTTTTTGGGAAATATCACTTTATCATAAAAATACATCATTTACCCCCCATAGCCATTGGGAGCAGGCTGAAAAAATGCATCATTTATATAAGTACATAACAGGTTTATAATTATTTTTACATGGGTTTTTTAAATCTTAAAGTTCACAGATTTAATTACTTTTTTGATATATTTATTTATTGTGTTGAGTCTTTGTCGCTGCACACGGGCTTTCTCTAGTTGCAGCGAGCGGGGGCTGCTCTTCCTTGCGGTGCAAGGGCTTCTCATTGTGGTGGCTTTCCTTGTTGCAGAGCACAGGCTCTAGGCGCACGGGCTTCAGTAGTTGTGGCACACAGGCTTAGCTGCTCCGCAGCATGTGGGATCTTCCTGGACCAGGGCTCAAACCCGTGTCCCCTGCATCGGCAGGGGGATTCTTAACCACTGCACCACCAGGGAAGTCCCAGATTTAATTTCTAATATGATAAATATAGATAGATATCCCATAAATCTCTTAGGGTCCTTGATAATTTTTTTAACATCTTTATTGGGGTATAATTGCTTTACAATGGTGTGTTAGTTTCTGCTTTATAACAAAGTGAATCAGTTATACATATACATATGATCCCATATCTCTTCCCTCTTGCCTCTCCCTCCCTCCCACCCTCCCTATCCCACCCCTCCAGGCGGCTTGATAATTTTTAAGAGTAAAGAGTAAAAGGGTCCTAAGACCAAAATGCTTAGAACTACTACCAGAGGGATAAGCACAGGGAGAATTGGGAGCATATAGGAAGGCCACTTAAACTTAGTGCCAGTGGAAGTCTTCCCAGGAGAGATGTTGCTTGCACTGAATCTTGAACAAATAGGAATTAGCCAGACAAGGAGGAAGGGAAGAGTAGTGAAGGGCATTCCAGACTGAGCTTGAAGAATATACAAAAGCAGAAAGGTATGAGAGCCCAAGTGACATCCAGAATATACAAAGTTTAGTATTGCTAGACCAAAGGCTGAGAATGACTAGAGATACACACAAAAGAATAAGCCTTGATGAAAGATGCTGTTTGTCATGCTAAGAGGTTACTTTATGACAAATTGTTGGGAGCTGTTGAAGATGTTTGAGCAGGAGAGTGACTATGTCAAGATTCCTAGAATGATTGTTGTCACTGCAACATGGAGATATATTGAAACGGGTGGAAACTAGAGGCAAAGGGACTGGTTCGAAGGGTAAGTGGTGGTAGTAGTGGAAAGCAAGAAACAGTCCCAAATTTAGGGTCATTGAACCCATTTAAGAATAAAAGGAATAAAAACTATCCATTCGGGAAAATATATATGGACATACACTTGGTTTTAGATACAATTACAAGTGTTTTTCGGTCTTCCTCAAGTCCAACCATAGATCCCAGGATTAACTACCACTTGTTTAGAACACTGGTCTTCAGACTTTCATGTGCATCAAAATCACCTGGAGGGCACATTAAAACAGATTGCTGGCTCCATCCCCAGATATTCTGATTCAGTAGATCTGGAGGAGGAGCCTGAAAATTTCAATTTCTAACAAGTTCCTAGGTGATGGTGCTGCTGGTGATCCAAGAACTCCATTTTTAAAAAATAAATAAATTTATTTATTTATGGCTGCATTGGGTCTTCGTTGCTGCGCGTGGGCTTTCTTTAGTTGTGGCCTTACAGGCTTAGTTGCTCCGTGGCATGTGGGATCTTCCCCGACCAGGGCTCAAACCCGTGTCCCCTGCATTGGCAGGCAGATTCTTAACCACTGTGCCACCAGGGAAGCCCCTAAGAACCCCAATTTGAGCACCACTGGTTAAGAAGGTTGTAAAGCAGTACTTATTAGATTTAGTAATCTGTTGATGGTAAAGCAGAGGGAGGAATTTGTTTCTGGCCTGAGGGACTGTGTAATAGTGCCATAGTTTAGGAGCAAAAATAAGAACGAAGAGCAAATTTGTAAAGAAGGAGCAAAAAATATTGAAATCCATTGTGGACAAGCTCCTGAAATGAAATTTAAGGAAAATGTCCAGAACTAAGATAAAGTATGTGATTTAAGCTTCAAAGTAGATACAGTTATGCCAGGTACATGTGTAGCATGAGAAATACATTGGGTAACATTAAAGGGACAAATACAACAAACAGCCAAAAATAAAAAAATAAATAAAACCAAGCCAGGAGGAAAATTAGGAGGGAGGATAGTCACAAAACTTGAGGGAGGAAAAGTTTTAATGGGAAAAAATGAAGAGTAGGGAGGAAAGAATGATAAAAACTATCAAAGTCTGCAAAGATGACAAAATCAGGAATAAAATGTACCCATTGGTAGATATAATGTGACTATTGAGACAAAAGCTACATGAACCAGTTTAGAGAAGCAAAAGTCACAGTGTCATTGTCACTTCCACTGATTCCTCTATGAATCTCTCAGCCAAATTTCCCACCCTTTGGCATGTCCTAGCTCTGCTACTCTGACCAATTTCAGACTGCTCCACCCTGGCCCTCTGAGATTCATTTTAGAATTCCAGCCTCCATGCTAGTATGTTCTGTCTCCAATCTCTGTAATCATTTTCATGGCCCCAATTTGCAGATATTTCTTCACCACGAGGCCCCTTGATTTCGTCTACCTACTGACCCAACATCTTCTAAATAAGACAAGCAGTGACAAAGTTGCAGTGCAGGAAAAAAGGTCTCCTCATAAGTAAAACAGGCCCATAAGAGCAAACCAGAAACCAAAAATAAGAATGATAAACTCTAGCAAGTAAATTAACAACAAAAAGAGAAAGATATACATTAAAATTTGATGCATGTACAGTATTGGATTTAGAACCAAGAGGTGACTTTGGAGAGTACAGTGACAGGAAGAGAATGCTTGAGTTGGGAAGGGGCGCAGATCACTGTGGACTGTACTTATAAGAATAGGTCTTGGTGCCTTTGTTCAGTCTTGTTTTGCTTTTCAAACAAGCAAGATCTGCAGCAAACCTACCCTATGGAATTTTAAAAGAAATTTGACAGTAGAGAATAATTTACAAGTAATTTTAGGTAAGGAAGAATCTGTAAGTAGCCCTATCTTTGAAGGAGGAGTGCAGATTGTAGTCCTAAGACAGCAAAAACACACTGGAAGGAAGGTTAATCAGTTGTACTAGAAAGAATCAGAAAAGGAGTGAGAACTGTGCATGCATGAGTGCCTCTGTGTGTGTACAGGAAGTGCCCTATATGTGAACGAGTTCCATTTGGAGAGCACATTCATGAGTCCAATTTGTCCATAAGTCCAACAAAGTTAGCCTAGGTACCCAACTAACACAATCGGCTATATAGTACTGTACTGTAATAGGTTTATAATACTTTTCACACAAATAATACATACATAAAAAAAAAAC